ACAATCTAGGAGCATGCTGAAGATGAACGTTTCGTGTTGTTCCAGGTATTATTTTACCCAATAACAGAGCCATCTTTGAATAGTCCAGGTGGCTATTGTGGTTTTTTTTTTTAAGTTCGATAGCAATCAGTAACGAAATTTTTCTGTAAGTCATCGATTGTTATCGATTGCCGATATCAATCGATAATATAATGTAAATGCAAATCTTATTTATAGTGGTCATGCACTTAACTATACAAGCACTAAGCTTGGCTAGTTTACAGCCATCGATGGAATCGATTGATTTCCGATATCCATTTTTATCGATTGACTACGCCTGGATAATCTAGAGCCCTTTTCAATGTTCACTCAGACAGAATTAAGCCATACGCCCTTCTTCTTTTCATTAAAATCCGTGAACCATTTAAACGTGTTGTAGTGAGAGCCTCTAGCACAGACGGCCAAGCACCTTGCGCATCAAATCCTTGGAAAACGCAGGGTTCGTGTCCTAAGATGAAGCCTGGTTAATGTTTGTGTAAACCTTAGCATTTGTACCCTGTTCGTCAATTGTACTCTGATTGAAATTAGAAAAGAAATTTGTTTACTTGAACCTTTGTGTCTATAAGATCTCTTACTTTCGAAAAGCCTGATACTCAGGCTACCTACACTGATTTAAATATCAAGATAGAGTTTCGATTACATTTTAGTTGCTAAGTCATGTCCTTTATGAGTTCAATTTAAGTTTTCCCGCGAGCATCCCTGCGCCTTTCACATGGGACACCCCACGGATCTTTTTGCCACGCCCGCTTCACGTCACAGCTTGAAGCTTGGATTTTTACACAATAAGGGCGGTGAGTCATAAATAATTAACTGCATTCAGTTAAAAGATTCTTTGTGCTCTAGCTCTGTTCCTCGAGTGCCGAGTCATGAAAACTTCACCTTCGCTTCTTGTGGCTCTGCTCACTCTGTGTATGATAACAACCGGTAAGTTAAACTCCGTAAAGACTTTAGAATTTGATAAATATCTTGAAACTTTGTTGTTAGCTGCAAATAGTTGAAACATTTCGGTCGAAACGAGGTAGCCAACGGCCTGTAAAGGGCGGTAAAAAGATTAACTTTGCCAGTGAGTTTATTTCTGCCATCAAAATAACGGTAAATGACGAACAGGAGTCCCAGTTGATCAGCGTTACTCCATTTATGGTATTCGCCTTTCAGTCTTGTTTCCAGATATCTTGAAAACCAAGACTTCGACTTGAAAACAGTTAACCGGAACGTCCGTTCCGGGGGGGGATGACTGCCTTGTTAAACTTGTTAGCTTTACACTGCGCTATTGAAAAGAGTACGGTTTTCGAACCGTTTTGGCCTGAGAAAGGTTATAGGGCTTATGAATATTTTGGTCAAAAGTAGGTATGGGTACCCTCTGGTCGGGAATTGGGTATGTTGTTTAGTAAAAGCTACTTTTCTTTTCCCCATGAATATCAGGGAATTCAGTTGAAAGCCCATTACAAATGTTTACTTCGGCGGTTAGCCCCTGGTTTAATAGCTCCTGTGTGAGGTCGTTTCTTAGGAGATCTGAAATAAAATAGCGACTTCTGAATCAGGTGAGAAATAGGGCATCAAAAATCACCTACCTTGGCCTGATTTCTGGGTAAGGGCATGTAATGCTCTCAAGGGGTAGGCCGTACAAACCTACCTGAAATGTCGGGAGTACCTCCCGCCCCCCCGGCCCCCCGAGATTGCGTGTGAGTGACGAAGTTAAGAATCTTTGCGTGTGATGCAAATTTCGATCAGTTTTATGCAAATTACTTCTCAGGCATGCAAACACTTGGAACCAACTCAAATCAAATAAAAACATTCCTGCAACGGGATCTAAATAATTCGAAAGTAAGCCTACAAAGCTAGTGAAAATATAAACCATAACCAAATTTGATAGCAGATGCACTGATTAAAACCAGGCAGCCGCGGACAAGTGTTCACTTGTGCATTAAATAAGGAGGAGATTGTATTTAAAGAATGCGAGTGCAGGGTGGGTGCCACTGTATTAACTTATATTCTATAACGAGACCCAGCCAAGTCGAAACAGCTGTCCACGGTTATACATCATTGCTTTCAAATTGGAAGTGATTTGCGCCCAGTGTCCTATTTAATGCACAAACCAGAAAAATTACACCCTACTCAAGGGATAAACAAAATGGCGTGAATATATGGAATTTCTGATAAGAAAAGGTTTCGTAAAGCACTTTAGAATGAAAATTAGCGATATGAAAAGTGAACGACTTTTCCATGACTCTATGTCATCATTATCAAGTTCGAAATACACGATAGAATTGAATAAATATAAATGGCAGAAATGGCGTGAAAATATTTAGGGAATTAAAAGGGTGTTAACGTATTCAATTCATTATGTAAAGAGTTTGGCGCGAACTGAATCTGGCTGCGTGTTAAGTTTTCGTTTTATGTTCTGATGAACAGCATCTCGTAGATCAAGCAGTCAGACTTTGTTCGGCATCTCTTTAAAACTGTAAATTGGTCTTGTAGATTAGTTGATTGCAGCTTGTGTTCTTCTTTACCAGTAGCAGAATGTTCATGTTCGGCTATGCGTTGAAAGAGATTTCGGGATGTATATCCAACAATCTCCTGTAATCTGTATCGCACAGTTCACACGAAAATTTGTAAACAACGCAATATACGTTAATCAGTGTTTTCTAGTAAACACTGGGCGCAAATCACTTCCAGTTTGCTTGCTAAGTTCGCTGAGATTTTTTCGTACAGCGTCGGCCGATCTCTGATCTTTGAAAGGCAAGACAATTCCAAATATTCTCACACCATTTCTGTTTATATTTATTCAATATTCTGTCATGTATTTCGAACTCGATAATGATGACATGGAGTCATCGAAATATATTTGCGGAGAAAGATATGAAGACATGATTGATCATCGCAGTTATACACAACTTGAGCAGTTAACGTTGTGAAATTAAAGCCTGAAAAACATTCAGGCCTGAACAGGATTCGAACCCATGACCTCTGCGATACCGGTGCAGTACTCTACCAACTGAGCTATCAAGCCAACTGGGAGCTGGTCACTTTGTGAGTGCGTAATATACCCGTATATGATGAAGAATACAAGTGAATATATGAAAGATCATATGATATTTTGTCATGCAAGCTGACTCGTATAATCTTACCTACCAGCTCTATCACTTCAGTGCTACGAGTGTACAAATGCAACTGGATTTACTGGAGTATCAAAGTGCGACAGTGACGAAGTGACGAAGAGAACTTGCGATGGGCTTGCTAACCGCTGCATGACAGTGACCTACAACTTTACACTACTGAACTCCCAAATCATTGAGACAAAGAACTGTTCCAGCAGCCTCGCTTGTGACCCACAATTCGAATTCAGCTGTAAGTATTTGCTAGCACGACTTTTGTATCTACTAGTCGTTGTGTATAACGATAATAGCACTCGTATCTTTTCTCTTTATGCAGTTCGCGAGCAGTCTCTCTTTTGCTCGAAAATCGGTGGGGAAGAACGCAAAAGAAGGATGCAACACAAGTGAGCAATCGCGAGCCTACAGCGTGATATGTGAAGCCGCGAACCGCACGTTACGCTCACAGTCATGCGTGAACGCTCATTTGTTTTGGGTTCTTCTCCACGTATTTTCGAGGAAAAGAGAAACTGTTCGCAGTCCACTCGTTATGTCAATATTATAGATGTTATGTATTTGGTGTAAATGGGGAAAATCGAAATGAATGACACGAATAAATATAAAAAGATAATAAGACAGATAATTTATAAAAGATAATAAGACTGGATATCAAGAAATCGTAACTGCCGTTTCCGCACAATTTTGATATGTTTAGCCAACATTTTTTTCGGTCCAATTTACGACTTGTTACTTTTTTTTCTTTGATTACAAGATGAAAGAACGGGACACTGGCCCTTTACCTCTGAGAAAGAAACATTGCCCCTTTATCGTGTTTACTTGCTATTTTCTTTATGTTTATTATATTGGACATTTGGAATAACAAGGAATGATAAATAATATGTTATTCACAAAGAAAATGCCAGACATAAGTATTATTGTCTAAATAGAGATTTAAGATTAGAAATCTATCAATAGCAGATTAGCTTTCAGTGGCGGATCTAGCCCCCC